GGCCTAAGAGTAGACGAGAGAGTGGACAACCGAAATGACACTAGGATCAGACTGAGTTCATTTTCTACCTCAACTGCCAAAAGATTGCATGTGCTGAACAACGATTCAGAACTTGCAATCTCGTCACTCAGCACACATCTGGCTGCATCTGGTTTCGAACCGCGGTCTGTATTTTAACGGTTCCTGTGTCTGTGTCGACGGAGCTAGGCTTTGCAGATGGAATTTTGTGGGCCAAAACTTGCAGTCAAACTCGGACGGACAAATTGTTCACGGGGAGAGCTCTCAACCCATTCTCTGTCAGTCAGCAGACGGGAAGGAGCCTAAATCGATGGACTCGAAAGAGCACATCGCATACTTGAGCAGTACGAATCCGTCGGCGGTCGGGTGAAACTAACTAAGCAGTCGTTGGCTGCTTCGACATCTACCGACTTGCATAACCGGGACAGGATATCCACAAGGCGGGGTACAGCGGAACACTACACGGAGCGTTTCATCAAAATAAAAGAGGGTTACCGTACTCTCTCCACTGTGACTGGGGTAGCTTTCCAAAGGCATCTGCAAAAGTCAGTGCTCGCTTCTTCATCATGTGTGTGCCACCTGAGCTAGGTTGGGCAGATGGAATTTTGTGGGCCAAAACCTGCAGTCGAACTCGGACGRACAAATTGTTCGCGGGGAGAGCTCTCGATCCATTCTATCTCTGCACAACCGGGGCCGGATATCCACAAGGCGGGGTACAGCGGGACACTACATGGAAGGTTCTGAAAGGCAAGAGGGTACTCTCCAGTGTGACTTAGGTAGCTTTCCAAATCATTTGCAAAAGTCAGTGCTCGTATCTTCATGTCCAATATCACTACCACAGTGGCGCCCGATTTATCAAACTTCTCGAACTTCGTCGTTTTGAGGAAGGTGGGCGACAACGTCCAGGAGGAACTTACCCAAGGGTCATGGTCCATAGACAACATCCAGTATTCTTTCGTCTGTTGATCGGTCTGAAATCCTTTGGCGGACGACGAAACAACCCCCACAGAGAAACGACCGCACCTCTTCAGGAGCCGGATGCTCCAGATATGCTTGCCACTGTGAATCAGCAACTTCATTATCGCGTATCGCATGAACTTGGGATCGGAGCTCCACACCCGCTGCGGCAGTTCGTCTGAAGTGGAGCATTGTATCGATATCGACCAAAAGGACGGCAAGGAGACTTTGTTGTAAGTGTTGCAAAGTCCACCTTCTTCTGTTTCAACGGGTGCGAACGATGGTTTGCGACACATGGAGCGCCACGGCATTGTGAAGAAAGAGCAGCGAGGCACTCCTCTGGAGAAGCAGATGCACTGAACTCTGTATGCTGCAGCTAGCATCTCCGCCCATAAGATTTGCAATGGCTCGATCCTGTTCTGCACAAAGGAGGGTTCAATCAAAGCAAGGTTGATGTGGCCTTTGAATATCTCCTCCACATCCTTCCTTGACAGCGAAATCTCTCTCTCCGAGTCACTGTTCTTCGGTCCGTCTTCTTTCTCAGAGGTCGTGCCTGACTCAACGCGACCTACAGATTCTTCGGCTGCAGTTGAATCTTGCCCCTCCGGCACTGTCTCGTCCTTACAGGAGAGTGAAACCTCTTTCTCTCTCTCGGGATCGCTGCAGTTCTTGGTGCTGTCTTCTTTCTCAGAGGCTGCCGCAGCCCCCGACTCGGCGTGATCCGTAGATATTTTTTCAGCAGGTGATTCTTGTTGCACCTCCGGCACTGTCTTGGTCTTTTCTTTCTCAAGGGAAAGATTGCCGGTTGCTGCCGAGAGAACGGCCTCTGCAAGCAGCGTCTCGGTTACGTTTGGATGAAAGCGAACTTTCTCCAGGCAGTACTTGATGCTCTCCTTCCTCCACCCTCGGAACGATGTGGACTCAACGACAAGGACGTCGTTCATTACCTTCAAAGCGACTTTCAGTACTTCCTCCGCATGCCTCGGGATCGCCACGTTCAGTAGCTCTCCCAGTTCGCT